TCTCTCTGTGAACATGCACGCACGCGCGCTCGTGTGTGTGTATGTGTGTGTGTGTGTGTGTGTGTGTGTGTGTGTGTGTGTGTGTGATTAAGCCAATGTTCAATTACTGTAGACTGCCTCTAACTATCCACGTACCAATTCCTTCTTGTGTGTACTCATTCCACCCAGAGACCGGCATGAGCGCCATCAGAAATCCAAGAAGCAAACAGATTGCTATGGCAACGTTGGCAGCTCTCTGTGGAAACGGAACAGAGGGTTTATGTCTTGAGTCACTGCAATGCAAATATACAATTATAGTTTGATCATTTGTAAAGACAAAAAACAGTCTGTACTCCGCCTAAGAACACCTAAGAACCCGGTCAGCCTAAGAGCCCTCTTTTACAATGTAATTGATTTTTTCTTTCTCTATAATTTACATGTCTATGAACCAGTTTTAATTAAAAACAGAAATCTGCCTAAAAGTCTAGTTCGAGTTAGAGTCTATTATGCTTTACAAAGCTGCTTTACCTTTCTTTGCACATGCAAAGAGACCTTCTTCAAGGCTGGACGGACACATAACTTATACTATTTTGAAGTTCGATAAAATGACATTGGGGAGGGGGTGGGGGGAGAGGATTTTGGGTGAATGAAGAGATATTAGTTTGATAGGCTGTCCACGTAATCTACACACAACCCTCACACCAAGTCACAAAGTGATAATTACCAAGTGGTTTTCAATTGGATCAAAGGCTTGTTATTCTCACTTGATTAGGGTCCGTTTGTCTTATAATTCTTGTCTATTAACGGTCGTTTTCTGTAATTAATTTTGAAGCAGCGTTACGAGTGATACAGTTAAATAGTCTCAATACGCCTTCAGTGAATAATTGATCTAAGCTAAAATATTGCGAGACAAAAATTGATTCAAAAGCCCGAAATCTGTATTAAACCCCATGCACCAAAAACCACCCACGCATTGAGATAAGCGAGCGCGCACGTAGTCTCTCTCTCTCTCTCTCTCTCTCTCTCTCTCTCTCTCTCTCTCTCTCTCTCTCTCTCTCTCTCTCTCTCTCTCTTTCTTTTTACATATGTTGACTAACCTTTGTCCCTGTTATAACAGATTGGGCTCCGAAGAGGCCCTGTTATTGCCGATAACTTTTAATGGAGACAAAGAGTAGGAAAATACGGGGATTTCAAAAATCACTGTTATTACCGGGTCCCTGTTATTACCGGGCCTGTTATATATGGTTTACACTGCAATTGTAATTTTTACTCCCCCATTACGGGGGCTCTCGTGGCCTAGAGGTTAAGATGTTGGCCTCTCATTCAAAAGGT